GATTCCCAGGCGGGTCTCGAACCCGCAGGCTCAGGCAATCCACTCACCTCAGCCTCCCAAAGGCATGGGATTACAGGCTGAGCCACCAAGCCGGCGGATGCAAATTTTAAAAATTGTTTTAAAACAAGCCAATAAGGGCCCTCATTCTCCACTAAGAAGACTAAGAAACCTAACTTGGGTCAGAGTTAAAACTCTAGATGTAAATTTGAATCTTATCTCAGCCACTTACCAGCTAGGCCAATCCTGAAGCCTCCTTTTGAAAATAGAGCTGCCGGATGTGGTGACTCAATCCTGTAATCCCAGAGGATTGCCTGAGTCCAGGGGTTCGAGACCAGCTTGGGCAACTTGGTGAGCCCTCGTCTCTACAATAAATCAAAAAAATTAGACAGGCATGGTGGCGCTTGCCTGTAGTTCCAGCTATTTGGAAGACTGAGGTGGAAGGATTGCCTGAGCCCAGCAGGTCAAGGTCGCCGTGGCCTTGAGCGTGCCAGTGCACTCCAGCCTGGGCAACAGAGTGAGACTCCAACTCAAAAAAAAAGTATATACCACTGCAGCTGGTTTTTGCCAGTTTGTAAGGTTGATTACTAAATTTTCTGGGATTTTATGAGCTAGTTGGCAAGCATAGCCATTATTTAAAATCAAACTATTTAAGCTGTAATTATTATGTTAAAAATAAAAGTACCCAGCACTTTGGGAGGTGAAAGTAAGAGGATTGCCTGGGCCCAGGGGTTCCAGACCAGCCTAGGCAGCATAAAAGGTAGTAGGCTGGGCATGGTAGCTCACATCTGTAATTCCAGCACTTTTGGAGACTAAGACCAGATGATTACTTGAGGTCAGAAGTTTAAGACTGTGGTGAACTATGATCATGTCATTGCACTCCAGCCTGGTCAATGGCATGAGACCCTGTCTCTGGCAGCAAGACCTCATCTCTACAATAAATCAAAAAATCAGCCGGGTGTGGTAGCGCATGCCTGTAATTCCAGCTACTTGGAAGGCTGAGGCGGAAGGATCGCCGGAGCCCAGCAGGTCGAGGCTGCGGTGGCCGGAAGCGGCCACTGCATTCCAGTCTGGGCGACAGAGTGAGACTCCAACTCAAAAAACAAAAAACAAACAAAAGTAATAAAGGTAATAAATACTCAAAGCTCATCACTCTGTGTGTTGTTTTCTCCATTTTACTAATCTCTTGAGGTTATTTGTCCATTGTGTCTCCATAGTGGAAATACTGTGCAATGTTGTATGCATCTCTTCTGAACTCTGTTCAGAGAAGTCACATTGATAGCATGAAATTGGCTGTAATGGGAGTATATATACAATGGAAACTAACAAATGCTACAAATCAGGGCTTGATTTATTGTTTTGTTGATTTTTCTAGATCAAATGTTAGCAAATATTTTGTGTAAACAGTCAGTTAGCCAGGGCATGGTGGCTCACGTCTGTAATCCCAGCACTTTGGGAAGCAGAGACAAGAGGATTGCCTGAGCTCACAGGTTGGAGACCAGCCTGGACAACATGGTGAGACCTTGTCTCAACAATACATTTTAAAAAATTAGCTGGGCATGATGGCACATGCCTCTAATTCTAGCCACTTGGAAGGCTGAGTGAAAGGATCGACCAGCAGGTTGAGGCTATGGTAGCCGTGAGCATGCCACTCACTGCACTCCAGCCTCAGTGACAGAGTGAGACTCCAACTCAAAAAAACAAAAACCAGGGCAATCCCCTGGAGTCCCCTCCCACTGTGGGAGCTTTTC